GTATGTTTATAAATATAAATTTAATCTAAACAAACGTCGATATTAAAATAAATATATAATAATAAATCCGTCACAATACATGAGTTAACCTTATCTTTGTGTCAGCCACACATTATCCTGGATCATTCTCATTAGCAGTACTAGGTGATTACATGGCTGATGTTATTAGAGAATCCCTTTAAGCTTGTAATAACGGATTTTCTAGTCTCTTGGATTCTCAGAGTAGAGGTATAGAAGCACCGAAGGCTATATAATATATATTCCCTTTTTTTCTTAATGATAGTGGCCATTGACGAGGAAAACATTGTATTCTAGTAGAATTAGTTGGGTCTGAATTTGACCAAGTGGGCGCGGCTGTCCAGCATACTGTGTGCACGTCTTATCATATGAACTAACATTATCTTCTCCTTACTGAGCAACGCAGTGTCTCTCTTCTCGTGAAACGTTTTTGTTACGTCTCCTTTGCTTCGGTAGTCAAACTTAGCTCCACAGTCGTCAAAACCTTTCCTGATAAACCCCTTGTTGAAATAGGCTTTTCAACTTACCTGTTGAGCTCCATTCTACCTTTAGAATATCGTAAAGAGGCCATATATATTAATATAGGTTTAGAACTATCTCATTTATAATAGCCAAATTAAGGGGTTAATCGGTTTGCTAACATAATATAAACTATTTAAAAACACTAGATAAAAATATTTTATATGTTCTTTAACCTAGTGAAAAAATAGTTTAACTCGGGTGCGTTTTGGAATTACTAATTATCAAATGGATTTCGTTAATAAATCGATTTATTAATAAAGTGTTGCTAGTAATATGGTTACCTAAAAATTCAGTGAGATAAGATTTAGTATCTTATTTAATCGTCAGAAAAAATCATATCTGGTAAAGAAAAAGAGGTATTTCGTAACGAGTATGGGACATACATTATTAACATAGTCCTTGTATCCGTATTGCAGACTTCTGATTATTCAGTGGAAAATGTTATATGGGACTATCTATGTCCTATTCTTCAACCAATGAAATACCAAGCTTTCTTACTCAGACGTCTGATTACTCAATGTACAATGTTATAGAAGGACTATGTCCTATTCTTCAACCACTGAACTACCAAGCTTTCTTACGGAGACGTCTGATCATTCAATGGACAATGTTATAGAAGGACTATGTCCTATTCTTCAACCACTGAACTACCAAGCTTTCTTACAGAGACGTCTGATCATTCAATGGACAATGTTATAGAAGGACTATGTCCTATTCTTTACCCAGTGAAACACCAAGCTTTCTGGTGCTACCTGGTGGATTAATATATTGACGTTGTCCAATTGTGTTGTAGGAGTATCGTGTGTGATTTGGATAACGATTTATTGTTTCTCGATCATTGTTAGTCATTTAGTGGTGATAAGAACTTCAGTTGCTTTTCTGATATCTAAAATGTTTTCATGAGAAACCGACTGTCAATTTCTAATGGACCTGCTGTGCAGATACTTGTCATTACATGGCATAGTTTACCTTCCACGACCTTGTCTAGACCTTCAAGTATGTAGATAAGCTGTATCATTGCGTGTTAAACAATATTACCACTACACCAAAATGACTAGTCACTTGTCTCTGTGTTTATCTAGGTTTTCAACCTTTTATAATCTCAGACATTCTTTATTTTCGTCAAAAAACAACAACTTTTTTTGCAATTACTAGAAAACATTAACATACGATTACACTGAAACAACAATAAAAGTTAAGGTGATTATGAAAAAAAAGTTAATTATAAAATCATCCAATCTAAATACAAAATAAGGTATTTTATTTCCAGGACGACAGCCCAAGGGAAGATGAACCGTTGTAACATTGCACTTTCATTACAGAACACCTAAAACGTGTAACCAAGCGATAACCAGATAACCAGTACTTTATGGTGTATTGTAAAAATCAGCCATACAAACGAAGTTTTTTTTTTTTAGGTTTGGGCAGTTTTATTCTGACAAATATTTATTATGTACGATACAATCAACAGAACATATATAATTACAGCTGTTCATCCTAATTAAGAAATGAATCACTGATGCCAGAAAACATTTTACATCTATAAAACTCAAGTCGAATTTCATACTACTATGTGTGCTTGAAGTGTTTAGGGAAACAAACGTTAAGCCTACTGCTACGTTAACATACAAGAAACCCATCATTAAATAAGTTTTGTAGAAAGAAGCATTTGTTACTTCCAAAGATTAACTTTTACGACTTCATCTGATATTTGATCTTCAAAATTCAACAATAAGTCCAAACTTGTGCTCTCAAAACGCTCCGCCAGTATTGTCCGATGTGGTTTAATGTACCATTAGGATCTTACTCTCCAATGTGGTTCATGTACCACTAGAACTGGACTGTCAAATGTGGTTCTGTTATCACTAAAGCTGGGCTGCCCAATATGGTTCAGGTATCACTAGAACTGGACTGCTTAATGTGATTCAAAGTATCAATCGAATGTTACTGTCCAATGTAGTTCAGCGTATCATCGTAATTCTAACTGTAAATAAAGCTCAATACTTACTTTAACAAAGAGTGCTGTTGTCGTTAACTTGTACATTCATACATGTCTGTAGCTTAATAAAAACAACAAAGGTTTATACCACACATATTCAATATATTAGTCTCGCTTTCGCGAACATATAATAAAGACATTCACACGTAATACCGATCATACACAATATATTTTTTTACTCTGCTGTGCTATGTACTGAAACCACAAATTCAGTTCAAATGAATATCATACTGACAAGTGCTTTAACAGGAATCAAGTTAACAAACACAGTGTAGAAGATAGTTAATTATTCTATAGAATCTTGAGTTCACATCTAGATTTAAAGTATCTTTGTAATGATTTCGCAATTGGGATAACACAAAAAGAAAAATATCAAGTAACTACAAATTTATTTAGAGAGAAATCAAATAATACCTAATATAAATGCGAATACCTTATAATGGAAGCAGATAAAATTCACTACACAAATACGAAACGCTAGGCTATACAGTGTTTATACGTGTGAGCAGGAGAAGTCGGTTTTCGGATGTCGGTTTCTTCCACCATGTAACTGGTGTGTCGTCCGACTCCACATTTCAACATTAAATCCTTCCGTTAGATTCTTCCTATGAACGTTGTGGTTCTGTACGACAGCAGTGCTGTAGGGATTATCTACAGAATCCAATGGGTTGCTGTACGACTGCGACGCTGCCACACAACTGTGAAAGTCTTTCTTTCTGTAAACAATTTCAATGAAACCTTTTCGAACACGAACATTAAAGTAGCCGTAGAAAATCGGATTCAGCGCGCTGTTTAGTAATGCCAAAGTTTCTGCCCCCACAATCATAACTTTGGGCACTTGAATGGAGTAATTACTATATATACGAATATTATGAACAATGAAGTACGGAGTCCAACAGATGACAAAGCTCGCAATAATACAAACTGTGAGCTTAAGAGTTTTGATTTTGGCGCGAGGAATCACAGCCGCGGCACTGACGGAGCGCCGAAGGTAAACCTCTTCCTTCTTGTTCTTGTTCGGGTTCTCACGACTAGCCACACAAAGAGCTCGTAGAACGTTGACGTAGCAGTAGCTAATACATATGGTTGGTATAATCAGAATGTAGGTGGTGAGCCAAGTAAAATAGACTTTCCTCTGCCACATGGCTGTGTAGCCTTGGCTAACACATTCGTATCGCACTCGACCAGTCGTGGTGATGCCATTTTCTTTCTAGAAAATAACACGTGTTTATAATTAATCATCTCTCGAAATCCTGCTACATGGGATAGAGTAACTGTGGATTGACATAATATATTCTCAGATTTAACCTCATGTATAATATTATATACTGTATATACCTACAATCTAAATAGAATTTAACCTCTAATGTAAGCTGCTTTTAAACTTATTTTATATCACACAGATCTGAACTCAATGAACATATAATAACGTACGGAAACCGTTATCCAATAAAAGTGAAAGGTTTTGAAACATCATGCTCAAAGTTCATTGACTTTCGTGTAAAAATCTCAGTCTGTGCTGAAATTAAGGAAATGGTAAAGTTTTACCAGTGAAAAAATTAGTGTATGTGTATCGGCAATTTAGAGAATCATACTGAGGAACAAAGTTGTATGTGTGTAAATTGGTAACTGTCAGTTGGTGGTAGACATCAGCTGAACACACTGTACAACAATGGATATTAAAGATGATATCTGTTATTATTTAGGTAATATGTAATTTGCACAAATATAGAAATGATACTGAAAAGATTATCTTTGTTCAATAAGTTAATCAAATAATTTATTTGTTGTTACTAAATAATATTCTTGGCATGATAAATCCAAAATAATTATGCAAAATTACTCTGTTTTAATACTTTGTTTACTTCAGATTCTGGAAGGAATTATTGTATATAACTTTGCTAAGGATAGCAACAAAATAGTTCTTATTTACTTCTCAAATTCCAGTAATTATTACTACATGTTATCGCTTTCAAGCTTAGTAAATATAAAGAATGTTGATCTTTTTCACAAAAGTTAAATGTTACCTACTACAGGTGCTAATGGCTGATAGTTAAGTATCACCCAGTATACAGTAATTGTTAACGACTGTACTATATTATTGAAAGTTAAAGATACCTTTGGTTATTGAGAAATAATCATACTCCGTCACTACAAATTTTGATAAAATTTGCAACTTCTTAAAATATAATTGGCATAGAACAAGTGTTTAATGGTCTGGATATTAGAAATAAATACTTTAGTACCTTTCCTTTAACATCTTAATTACTTTATATATAAAAAACATATATACATTTGTGTGTGTGTGAAATTTCACAAGAAAAATCAATCTTTGCCTTGTATACAAAACACATGTGCAGTAGCAGAGCTTGGCCTCACGTCCGGCACCATTAGTGTGAAAGTTAGTATAAAGATTTTTAGATCTTTAACTTCAGTCCACACGTCAGAAATCTTCTTATTAGCATTCTCTTTCATCGATTGTATAACTACATGTGTTTCTATTGCCATTAAATGTAAACACCTAAATTGTTTAGGAAAAAAAAATCGTGGAGGAACAAGTCCATTGTTATCAGTTTCTGCTCTTTATAAGTCGACTTCAATTCGTTGCTCCAAACTGTTGGTAGTATTATGTTTATAATAGTGAATAATCGAATGAAGCTCGAGTTATTTTTTAACACTTATATTTCAAGCAGTATTAAATAATAGTAGCCATTAGTAAGAATTTTCAACCCTTCAGCAGTAAAGCCAGTAGAATTTTAGGTAATTATTTCTAAAATAATTAGTTAGACCTCATTTGCAATCTAGCCTGGTTGTTAGGGCGCTAGATTAGCTATCTGTGAATAGCGAGATCGAAACCCGTCACCGAATATGCTACGCTTTTAACCTTTGGAGGCTTTATAATAACATAGCATAACATTAAAATACAACAAGAGACCTTTTGGTCCATCTTGGCCGCCCTATCCACTAAATTTAACTAAACACTGAAAAACTCAAAGATAGCCCTTATCATCCAAATATTTATCAAGTTTCCCTTAAACATCCTTAAATTAACTGCATATACCACACCTGAAAGCAACCTCATTACAAAGGCCAACCATCCTGTTAGAAAAATAAAGCTGTCTTGGCTGAAGATAACTCCTACCCTGCCATCATTTATACTTGTGTCTCCTTGTCTTACTATTCTCACCATTAAGTATGAAAAAGATGAGGCATCAGCACTTTAATTTCCCTTAAAAATCTTAAATATCTCAATCAGACCTCTTCTAACACTTAGTGGTCCTTCTCTGAACCCCTTTCAACAATTCAATGTTCTTTCTAAAATAAGGAGCCCAAGACTGAGCATAGTGCTCCAAATGTGGCCTAACCAGTGACCTATACAATGGCATTGTAACTTCTTTAATATTTATGTAGATAAAACCTAAAATGCTATTTGCCCTGCAACTAGCATCAGCACACTGCTTAGATGGCTTAAAAGACTAATCAACCAGAACACCATAATATCGTTCTTCCATAACACTTTTAAGGTTATTCCCATCAGAATTATATTCATAATTCAAATTGTGATATCTCATTTGTGAGGTAATGCATTATTTTATTATAATTTAAAACTATCTACCAGTTATTCTCCCAACTCACCAAATAATCCAACTCATCTTGTAAAGCAGTAGCATCCTCCTCACAGCCAGCAACATAAAAAACTTTAATGTCTTCAGCAAATCTAAATACTCTATTGGACGTTCCTTCATCTATGTCATTGATGTAAATAAAAAAAGCAATTGTCCTAACATTGAGGTCTTAGGTACCCCACACTAATCCACTTTGATTTGAACTCTATTTATAACAACCCTCTGTTTCCTTCCATCTATCCTGTTTTCTATCCAATGAGCCAACCTATCCCCCACACCTACATAGATAACTTTTTAAACAAGCCTTTTATATGGTACTTTGTCAAATGATTTCTGAAAATCCAGATACAACCTTACCCTCATCTACATAAGTAATAACCGCTTTAGAGAATGCCAAAAGACAAGATTTTTCCCCTAGTAAATTATGTTGACAATCTATGAAAAATGTAAACTTTATTAAATAAATTTGCAAATCATCTTTTATCAGACTTTCAAAATTTTTTCCATAACTGATGTAAGACAAATATATCTATAATTACAGGGACAATTGTTATCACCACCCTTGAAAGGAGTAGCAACCTTATTCAATTTTTAAACTTCTGGCATCTGTTCATTATTCAAAGACGTAGAAAAATAATTGCAATTGGTTCACATATTCAATCCTTAACCTTTTCCAAAACGTTTGGATGAATATTATCTGGCCTAGGAGCGTTATCGTTCTCTAAACTTTCCATTTTTAATCAAGAGGCTCAGAATTAATGTGTTCTTCTTCTTCAGTTTTTATTTCCATCTAACAACTGTTCAGGATGAAGAATATTGCTTACATTTTCATTAGAAAAAAGTAGAATCTAATAACCCAGCTATCCCACAATAATCAGCTATTAGCCTTTTTTGTATCATACCTCAAAGGTCCAACTCCAATCATAACAGTGGATTGATCAACTGAAGGTACTGATCAAATGTTGAAAAAATAAAAAATATATTCTTAAATGTTCAAGATAGGCATGTTCCTTATAGAAAAAAGATTGGCTGCAAGTAAAAAAAACAGTTTAGCTCACAGGGGTATAAAGTATAGAATTAAAATTGTCTGAAAATGTAGAAATTAACAGTAAGGATTTTTCAAATAAATTAAAGGTAAGCAAAGAGCAGATAATTCTTGTCCCATCTCTTCAAAATTTTTCTTTTCGAGATTTGGAACTAAAATCTCTTTATTCCTTATCTCCATATGCAGAAAAACATCAAATCTAATTGAACAATGATTATTTGTACCCAGATATTCTCCATACCATATCAACTATTTGTTTATTAGAAGTTAACAATAGATACAAAATAACATTGCGTCTAATAAATTCCCAAACGAACTGATGAAGAAAACCATCATGAGCAATTTCTAAGAATGTGTTATTTCTCATGATTTGATTCTAACGTTCCCCAAGCTATATGCGTAATATTCAAATCTCCCATAATTATAGCTTCATTAATATTTGAATTTTTTACCTCACTTTAGATTTTCTCATTAATTTCATCTGTTTCATCTGGCGGTGTGAAACAAATTCCAACTAAAAAGCTCTCGTTCCTTATAATCACTAACAGAAACCCAAACAGATTCAAACTCATTACTATTAGCTTTAATATCCTCAACTTAAACAGGCTGTAACTCACGTTCTACATATAAATTCACTCCTCCCCTCTTCTTAGTACGCTATACCTATTAAACAGCCTAAAACCCTGTATTTCGAAGAAATTCTTGTCATCAAAGTGGTATAAATATAGCCAGGTTTTAGTTATTCCTATTGTATCAGAATCTTGTCCTCCAACCGATACTCCAAAGCCATCCATTTTTTTCTTATTCTTCTAGCATTACAATAATAATATTTTAGACTACCATTCAAACTACCTTTATTTCGCACACTATACCCTTCTCTGCAGCTTTCATTATACCCTTCATTATTCTGGCCCTCTCCACTGTGTAATCCTAGTTTAAAGTTGCCCTTAGAGTTGAGTTAATAGCTCTTGCAAACATACCAGCCTGTACCATATTTAAATAGAAACGATCTATTCCAAAACGCTTCATTTTCCCACTGAACTGATCCTACAAATTCAAACAAACAACCTGATCGTCCATACATCTTAACCTAAGCCTAGCATTCAAGATTATAATTTCATCCCTTTGAGTAGCTTTGCAGAAGTTCACAAAAACAAACAAACATTTGGAATGCTGAGTTCAGTTTTGGTCACCTTATCTAAGAAACGACACTGACTTATAAGGGTTCAGAGGAGGGCTACTAGTATAATTCCATGGGTAGAAGAATTATTTTATTTATAGAAATAGGTTGAGATATTGTAATTTATTTTATCTTGAGCAAAGAAGAGTAAGAGGTGGTCTTGTTGAAGTTCAAGTTAAAATCGTTAGAATATAGACCTGTAACTTCTTGGTGCTATATCATGAAGATTATAGGAGGAAATAATACATGTTTAAGGTTTATGAAATACAGATTAGGCTATATTTTAAAAAGTTTTATTTTTCTAACATAGTAATTGATTTATGGAAATATTTGTCATCGACAGTTTGGAAGTAAGCATT